CCAGACCTTCTGAATCAGAATCTGTACCGAAACAAGCTCCCAGGTGAATATTAGAGTTTAAGAAGCACTACTTTATAGTATTAATTCATTTGATCTTCATAAGGTGTAATTAATATTCATCATGACAGCTCTATAATGTAAATATAACCAACCATTTTACACATTAGTAAACTAAGGCATAGAGCATCATATAACTTGCACAAATACTGTCAGAGAAAGGATTTGAACCCACACACTCTCATTCCAGAATCCAAGCTCTAAATCATCGTCTATTATTTTGCAATTTTTAAACAAGTTATAGTATTTCCGTAAATTGGAATATCCTGTAGCGATTAAAACTGATGTCTAAGGAATTTTTAATGATGCAGGAAATTAACTGAAGTATGCAGTAAATAAAACTGAATATATGGTATGAGCCCCAATATGTAATTTTTAAAAATTACATACACATTCACTTTGAAAAAGATCTGAAAAAAAATCTAAGTATGGGGCGTCAATATAAGGGATCTGGTGTCAGAATGCCAGAATTCAAATTCCAGCTGTATCGCTCATTAGCTCAGTGATGTAGAGGCAGCTCTGAGGTAACAAGCTTGAGCACGGGATACCTGAGAAAGGAAAAGGGGCCCACAGGGACCACGGAGCTGAAGGCAAGCAGACAATGCAAACAAGCTCATTAAGTGACCCACCTTGAAATAACCAAAGGCCCTAAATGACCAATTACAACCAGGCACAGTTCCTAAGATCACCAAAAAAGGGAAAATTCCATCTGTCCCCATAACCCCTCACCCCGCCCTCTAACAGGGGCCTCTCTCCTTTGCTATTGTGCCCACGGCTTCCTTAAGGTGTATTCAATAAACTTATCTCTTTTATCCTGCCTGGGGTGAATTCTTTCATTGCCTGTGAGGCCAGCCTCTACCGGATCAGAGCACCCCACATTTGGTGGCCCCCCCATCCGATGGGGACACCCCATATGTGATCTAAGGTGAGAGGCTTAACCTTTTTAAGCCTCATTTTCTTGATCGATGAAATGAAAATAGTATTTACTTCACAAGATCGTTGTGAGGATTCAATGAGGTAATCTACAAAAAGCACAAGCACTGAAGATTATTATTTCTCTCTATGCTTTTATTTGCCAAAATTTCTACAATGACTATATGTTACACCTCCGTAAATAGTATAAAAAAAAAAAAAAAGATAATGGCTGAGATTGTGAACTATCTCACAGGCTATTACAAAGAAAGTACCCATTCCTCTGATTAGGTAATATAAGACTGAACTCACGCAGTAACAGCTGAGTAAGAGATCTAAAAAAGATCTTTAAGTAAGTATGATTAAATAGCGAAACTGAATAAGGGACGCACTGCCGGTTCCTCTCCAGGAGGGCCTTTCCTCGAACAAAGTCCACCACCCACTTTCAATGATTTAGACATTCCAACTGCCTGGCAGTACCTACCTGACCTTGAACAGGTTATCAGACCTCTTGCAAAGCCTCACTTTTCCTCATCTGAAAGAAAGGATGCTATGGCCCTTGGACTTATTGTGAGGATTTAATGAGAATATGTATGTAAAGAGCTAAGCACAGTGGACCGGCAAACAAAGCACTTGATGTCAGCTCAAATCTATCCTCGTCACCAGCGGCATCACTTCAGCTGACTGACACCTCTTGAGCTGGTCCACCAGCAATGAAAACATATTCACTCTCCAAATGGCAGCTCAACAGTGTTTTCATTATCTTCTAATCAATTAGAAAGAAGAGCTATTTCATTACAAAATTATCAAGGCCACTCTCCATTTTAAGTAATTTAGATTCATTTAAGCAAATTATTTCACAGTTGGATTCTTAACTACACAACTAATAGTAGCAAGCCAATCCAGGTGGGGGTTTCTCCACATTTCTAGTACCTCTGTATACAAATACATTAGTATACAACCGAGTAAGTCTGTTTTAAACACAGAAACTCCATGAATCACTACCAGCTATAATGTAGGTCAAGGCTTCCCACCTGATAAAAGTAGATCGGAATCAGTGTTAAGATTTAGAAAAGCCTACGGATCACCCAGTCTGATCCTTTCGTTTTGCAAATGGATTTAGGAAATGTAGTTAACTAGTGAACAAGGAAAACATTCAAATGCTAATCTACTTTTTCAGAATTAGTTCAAATCCTAAAAGGAAACCTCAGTTTAGACTGACATCAATTTTTAGCTCAGCTAAAGGTGTTACTATTATTATCACATTGTAAGGTGTAAGTGGGAGCTTCCTTTCTCACTTTCAAGAGTATTGAATCTACAGCTCTGACTTGTTTCAAGACATTTATTTATTACAGGGAAGAGGGAGGAGAGAAAGGTCAGTCACCTTAAACTCTTATTTGACGTCTAATTCAAAGAACTAATAGTCATTTTCTTTTTAATTGAAACAAAGAGTTCATAAGCACAGTAAAAGATACTGTGAGAATATTCTCCTTCCCATTCACCTGAGAGATTTTACAGAAACACAAATGGCATGTGAACCTATGAAAATATGCTCTAAACATATTTGCAAATGACATATCAGATAAAGCGCTAGTATCCCAAATCTATAAAGAACTTATCAAACTTAACACCCAAAGAACAAATAATC